TGGGTCGGGAGCTCCACAACCATGGGCGCACGTGTGCTGGGATCTCGAAAGTGGGCATCCGATTCTGAAGGTCCGGGTACTAAAGCTCGCTCAGTAATACGGAGTCATGGCAAGTGCTACCTATGCATACCGTGCTGAAATGGGATGAGACGTCACGCAAAGTCCACCACATCAGCGCGGCGGTCTGCCGTGACGTCTCGGTCCCGAGCCTGAGTCAGCTGAGGCGCCTTCTGCACGGAAATGCCCGGAAAACTGAGTCGTAAGAGCGGTTGTGCAATCCAGCAGGTTCTGAATATCGGAAATATCAACACTTTTGCTTATTATCTTCGGCCCTGCACTTTGGACTAAATGCTGCCAGAATGAAAGTGCCGCCGTGCTATGTGGTACTCGCATGCAAGCATGTGCTGGAATCCAGCGGAATACAAATTCTATTCCGGAATCGATTTTGTTTGGGCCAGATCAGATTCGGATTCGGTGTTTTGAGATAACCTGGAGTACTTTTGGTAGCCAAAGGACTTATTGGTCGATATCAGCTTACCAGTTTGGAATACTATTGGTAGGATGAAAGGCGACCGCCGGCCGCTCAAAAGCGTCAACAAAACGGCCCAATGCACCACAATAGGATCCGGGGCGTTAAAGTTTTTATAACCAGATACGGGCCTCAAGTGACAGTCAGTGGGGAGCCATCTTGCCTTGACTGAAAGAGCCCCTTGACCCCATTTAGCCCCCTCCCCCTTGGACTTGGACGTTGATCAGGATCAATTAGATAACGCTCTGAAAACGCCTGTTCTGCTAAATGATTCAAGCACAATCTCTGGAGTATTCGCGTGGCCGACTCGACGCCGTACGAGGCGAATCGACTGGCTATCATGCGATAACATTACATGTGACGGGGACTCGTGATGAGCCCCGTCCGCCCGATGAAAGGATATAGTTGGGAGCTTGGAGGTGTCAAGACCCAAAGAATTGCAACTTTTGGAAGACATACTAGCTTACCCTTACTCTCACGGCTTATCTACGTGTCCAAGTTTTCCGGAGTGTATTATCAATGTACAAAGACCTTCCTGTATGCGCAGAGGCACGTACATGACCGCCACACGGCAATGGACTCTGACTTGACAAACCCACCAGCCGTCCCACAGACTGATCGAAGACGAGCCTCGGCGACGTCATTCTCCCGAAGCACTGCTCCCGCTCCGAATGCCGGCCGACCAGCTGCGTGGAGGGCTGGAAGTTGTGCGGGATCGACTCCCGCTCCACCTCCTCGCGGAGAGTCGCCGCTCACCGTTCGAGGACGAGGTCCTCGCTGTCGCCAAGGCCCCTGCTGAATACCGAGTGTTTCACGCTGGGGGTAGCGCTCTCACGATTGCAACTGACCACGAGCATCTGCAAGCCTCGTCGATACCGTTCCCTAGACGGCATCGACGCCTCCCGGTTAGACATGCCGGCTCCAAGAGCAGCTGTTCCACTCATTTCGTGTCCTACGCAGTTTCGCATCCACTAATACACATAGATCCGGCGATGCTGTATGTCGACCTCTTGACCTGACCAGGGGGGGGGGGCTTGCACACCCCCACTCCATGTGGTAGTAGTCAGAGGCACTGTCCTGGCGGGCGCGCCTCCCGACAATGGGGACACATGGCGACCGGCTGCTCGCCAGGGAGACAAGGTCGAGGCGTGAAGGAACGGGGGACGAGGGTTTAAAACGTCGCCCAGTACGCTGCTGAGATCCCACCTGATGAAAAGTAAACAGAAGCCCAGGGAGAGAAAAAACATCACCGGCGATTCACTGGAAATATAATGAAGAAAGCGAAGGTAAAAGACGAACATTTGCCTTAAACAGCAGAATGTCAGCAGCCAAAATCTCCGAACGCTTGAATAATGTCACCGTTCTGCTTTATTGTCATTCTAACATAATGGACTGAGGCTTTGCCATCATGCCGGCATCTCATGCCGTGGGTGCCTGTTTTGACATCTGTATTAAGCTTGAAATCTTGCAGAATGTTACAACGCAACAAGACAGCTCCTGGCAGAAGGAACGGAAGCAAATGAATTGGGAAGGCCCGATGCCGCAGCTGTTAGGCATATGCCTAACTCAGTAACGATTGGCCGGTGGTGGAATCCCTTTAAAGTCCTGGATCCCGAACTATCTTCGACGAAATCCGCTTGGGATGCCCGTCTTCAGGAACGCTTCAGTGGATATAGCTGCTTACACCCAAGGCGATCTCGTGGTATAGCCAAGATTTCGCCCAGGAGGGAGGCAAATTGAGATAAAGGGAGCCTTTCACCTAAAGCCCCCGCTTCGTCACTACGGGGACCCTATTTTTTATTCCGAAGACCGTTCTATACTCGGAATAAAAAATAGGGTCCCTGGGCATATAAATAGGGCTTATATATTACACATTATAAATTTAATGTAATATGTAAATGCATGTTGCATAGGCTAATTTAGTTGCGTTTTATTTTGCGTTCTCCATTAGAAAGGGTGTCATATAACCAATACCGTCGGCGCGTCCAGAAAGACAAGGCACAAGGCAAGACATCATTAACTCATTCGGGCTACGCCCCGAAAAATGGAGCACTAAGGCATATTCTAGCCAGACCAAGCAAAGGTTTTAGGCTAGAAGTCCTGGCTTGACCGAGACTCTGCCAACACTCCAGCCAGAACTTGCTCCTTTAAGCCTGGTGATTTGAGATCAGAACCCGCACACGAAACTGTGCCAGCGAATGGTGTCGATAGAGTGAGCAGGATACGTAATTCATAGACCTGAAAGTCAGTTAAGAGCCGCGTTAGCTTAAGGGCATAAAGAGAAAAAAGCGTGCATAGCCATGCATCTGGATGACTGGCTGATGAGCAGTTCCAGAAGACCATGGCCGCCACCGCTTTCGGTAGTGAGGTTTGACTATTTTGCACCGATTTGCTGGCCACCTGCCAAAGCCAGCGCGCTTCCCAGCGCGCCACGGAGCACTGGCCTGCGCGCGACTACAAAACAAAGCTGGTTCGCAAACCTGAGCACCTACGGAGCTGGCCGGAGGGCAGGTAGTTCGGCACAAACACCGGGCATGGTCGGCCCGGCACACACGCCCGCCAGCGCCGTGTCAACAGGGCCATCGTGCGTCGGGGCACGGCGTGTGTGCCGAGGTGGCACGGGCGACTGTTTGGCGGCGGGCCGGCCGTCCGTTTGCGACCCACTGCAAACAAAAACAGCGGCGGTGCGACCCTTCCGCGACGATTAGATAGGCGTCGCGCCCGCGCACCGACCGGCCCGAGGCGGGGGTCGGCTCGGAACGGTGAAGGGGTGTGCTGGTTGGGCGGAGAGGGTGCCGGGCCCCGGCCCGGGCCTGAGCCCCCAGTGCCCTCTCCCACTGGGAGCCTCGTGCCGGTCCGTCGGCGCTCTCCTGCCGACCTGACCTCTAGCCCCTCGAGTCGTTGCGTTGAAGTGCTGCACACCGCCCTGGCTGGGCTGATTTGTATCTTAATCCCCCTCCTCTCCTCCTCTCCTTTTTGTATATCCCAAGGGACCCAGCCGTATCCAAGGATTTGCTCTTGTACCCTCCACGGACCCAGCCGTATCCAAGGATCTGCTCTCGTCCCTCCACGGACCCAGCTGCATCCAAGGATCCTCCCTTGTTCCTCGACGGACCTAGATTCGCATTCAAGTATAGGGAATCGAGACCCGTATCGAAGGATATCGCGAGATTTTCGCGCATGCGCCTGTTGTTCTTATCCGATTCGTCAGTCGTGGAACGTGCAAGCAACAACGGAATAATCGTACTTGGACTCGCGCCGTCATGCCACGTTAGGCATAACGATGTAGCGCGTTGCCCGTGTTGGCCATTAGTGTAGCAAAGCAGTATTCTTGAGACAAACCGGTGCTCCTGCCCATCGCAGGGGTAGGCACTACGTCCAACCTTTACGGTACATGCCCGCGGCTATGCACAACCAAAGCGACTTAAGATGGGTGATCAGGTACGTCTGAGAGGCCTTGCCATACTGAGATGCACATGCAAGTAAAAGGAGAGCAGTTTTGTTAAACTCAGGGCAGGAATGAACAGAAAGCATTCATCTTGCCACTAGTGTGGTTTTTAAAGCGCGTCAACTACATTGATTTCTGACGGGTCCTGTGACTTGTTAAGAAGCATGTGTAGTGGAGCGTGCAGTGGCAGGTTTCTGCTCCCAAGCCAGGGGAGGTGCCCCACTCCGCACTACTCGTCAGTGCGTGTTCCACGAATCCAATGCTTCCGGCCGCTCCTCGCGGGCTGGGGCCGGTTCCAGCACCCCCGTTGCTCCCGCCCGGGCCCTCCTCGATATGTCGCTGTCGTCACCATCCGGGCGTAATCTATCGGATGCCCCTCCCCCGGCCTGCCTGGGCTCACCCCTGTCACCCGGTCGCCGCCGTCGGACATGCATCAATCAAATGTCTCCCTCCCCCCGCCCGGATTGCCTGGGCTCGCCTCTGCCGCTCGGGAGTTGCGGCCGGAGGATATCGAATGTCTCTCTCCCCCCGCCCAGCTCGCCTAGGCTCGCCCCTGCCGCTCGGGGGCTGCGGCCGGCCGAAGACTATCAGATGCGGCCGCGAGGCGCCGCACCAGCTGTTTTTTCAGCCGGGGTCCAAGGCTGCGGCGGCGAGTCCGTGCGGGGCGCGACTGGGACGGTCGTGGCGCGTGTCTGCGTCGGCTCGCCGCGCGCCTCGCGCCACATCGCTCGCGCGATAGACAGGCGCACTGCGCGACTCGCCGGGTGCCGCCGCGACGCACGAAGGGGCGATTACGGTCTGCGTGGCGGCGAGTGGATCAGACGAGTCGTGTGGCATCGCCGGACAGCGCTCGCGCGGCATTCACTGCGGCGACTCGGCCGGGTGAGCGCCAGCTGCTGCGGAGCCGCCGTGACGTCAGCGCCGCTCCGCCCGCGTGGTGTTCCAGCCGCCGTGACGTCAGCGCCGGCGGCGATAGCGCATCCGTGACGTCATCAGAGGAACGCCACACGCCCGGCCCGCTGCGCGCTTCCGGCGACGGTGACGTCAGCACAGCGACGCGCATCTCTGACGTCAGCATGGCGCCGCTGGTGGTGGCCTGCGACTGGATCTCGATCGTGGGGTCGCTGGTGCTGAAGCTGCCGCAGATCGCGGCCACGCTGCGCTCCGGCTCGGCTCGCGGCCTCAGCCTTCAAAGCCTGCTGCTCGAGCTAACCGGCTTCACCATCAACTTCTGCTACAACGCCGCGCATGGCTACCCGCTGTTGAGCTACTTCGAGTACGCGCTGCTGATCCCGCAGGATGTGCTGCTGGTGCTGCTGACGCTGCGGCTCAGCGGACAGCTGACGGCCGGCTGGGTGGCGACGCTGGCGCTGGCCGCGGCCCGCCGCCGCCGCGCTGGCCGCCGGTCTTAGCGCACGCGTCTTCCGTGGCCGCCCTCCTGCACCTGCTTCAGTCCTGACCGATCGGCTGGGAGCAGCCAAGCGGGTTGGCAGCTGCGCGCGCCTTCTGGTGTCAAGGCGGCGACGCCCGCGCGCTCAGCCTGAACAACCTGGCTGTTGGCGGCGCTGACGTGCGGCACGCATCGTCACCACGCTGGCCGAGACGGGCGACGTCACCATGCTGACCTGCTTCTGCGTCAACCTGGCACTCAACGTCCTGGTGGTGCTGGCTGTGGTCCGGTTCAGAGACGGACCGCCCGAAGAGGCCGCGCGGAAGAAGGCCAAATGAGCGGCCAGCAGGGTAGCGGGGTCGGGGAGACAGGGGGAGGTCGACGGTGATGGCGGGGAAGGAGGCCGGACTCTGGGAAGGGGGCGGCATAGCCTGGTGCTGCGTGCGGTGTTGGGAAGGGTACAACCAGGAGCAGTGCACGCTGCCGGGTGGACGGCCTCTGCATGGGCGGAATCATGCGGCTGGGCATGGAGTTTGGGCATGGGTAGAATCATGCGGCTATCGGAGGGAGGTCAACACGCGGTACAGATCTGAGCGGACCGAGTGGTGTGAAATTATTTATGCGTCGGACTGGTTGGGTGAAGAACGGTGTACTGTGACTATAGGCTGGACACAGGAAAGACCAGAAGGTCGGGGGGGGGGGGGGAGGGAGAGGGGGAAGCTCCAAGCAGGGTCGATGAGACGAGCGAGGATCAGGGAGACGCAGCGCTTTGTACCGCAGTTTGATCTCCGTTATCATTCTTCGTTACTCCTCCGAAGGACATATCACGGGCTTTGGTGGTGCTTTACCGTGCGCTGAAGCAGCTTTTTTGTCTCCATTTCCAGGGACTTGGTAGCTTGCGATAGTATATCTTCCAATGCTTTCAGTTAAAACTGGCGAATTTGCGTGTCGTATCCATACGAGTATGCTGTGGTCTTTTTCTTATCTTGCGTTCTTCTTCGGCTTAGGGAAATACAGATCTCTGTGAAATACTGTTTCGTGCAACTATGTTTTCGACCGGACCGAAAAAGAAAATGCCATTCGATGTCAGTAAATGCTGACCCTTACGTAAAG